AGCAAGGAACAAGGCTTAGTGTAAAACCAGTCATGGATTCCCAGGCAGACATTTCTCTTTTTAAGGTTCCCCAAATCCTAGTCCACAGCAAAAATGGCTGTTTTTCCCTCTGGCTGTTAGCATGATGACCGCTGGCACTCAGTCTGTATGATGAGTGTGTTAGAACACTCAGGTTGCATAGGCAGGATGCTGGAAAATGGATAGATAAACAGACATTCAGACTGTAGCTCTGGTGAACTGGCACAAGTCTAGCTGTTTCTTCCCCTTTGAGACTGTCATGAAAATTTGCAACTGGCCCGTGCCAACTGAGGAGAGAGGTTAGGATGCAAAGCATAGAATTACAATGGGCAAATGTTAATTCACGTGCATGAGGTGTCCCAGCCAAATTGGGGCAACCTGAATGTGGTTTTACACACAATTCTTATACCCTTCAAATATTCAGGTAATACATGATTGACTAATCACTTACGCCCACACTACTGATTATTAATAACAGTAAATCTCTGCAAAGCACCTGCATTTTTGCAGAATTCTTTCTGCTTATCTGTTGATCCAGACATCCCTGGATTCAGTCTTGCCATAATTACTTGCTCTGATGCCAGAAGATGCTGGCAAGATGTGGTCTAAGATGTTGCTGTTATCTTGGTTGTCAAAGTCCATATTTCCAGGACTAGGTTACCCTTTAGTTTCTTTTACTTAAGCAGGAACAATACTAACTTCAGTAAAATTTCACAGCTTTGTGACAATACAGTGTACAATATGAAATAATATTATGTTAACAAAATTAATACACTGTTACACTATAAAGATTGCTAGATATAATAGTCAAGGAAGATAATTTTCATAACAACTGATACACATAATGAAAATAATAATTAAAAATACAGGTGGGTGAATAGTCAGCTAATGTAGATTGTGGTTTTTCTCCTCTCTGGAATTTATTTCCATTAAAGCTCATGAGCAAAGCCCTAAGCAGAAGTGAATGACAAAGAAGGAACAAAGCAGAGAATAAGCCTGGTCTGTAAGCAGAAGAACACTGCTGGTTCCAAGGGAGAACTGAGACTCAGAAGCCTTCTTGGTGGTAAAAAAAAAATCTCATTATTTGTGATAAAGATTACAAAATAATTAAAAAGCATGACTGTATTCTGATGGTTGCCAAGAGCCAGTGTGGAAATTGTAAAAGTGCAGGGTCTGGTCTTTCACATTCCATCTTGAGCTGCCCCTCAGTCCTTTGCACTTCTGTGCTTCCCCAAATTATCTTCAGTTATCTCTTATGAATTTTCTGTAGGCTTCTCCTCTTTCTGTGCCAGGTTTTCTTAGGGACAAAATACCTTTGTACTTCACCAAACACAGCAACAAACAAAACAACAAGGCTTTGGATATAGGGTATCCAGAAGGATATTATAAGGTTTTAGTTTACTGAGCTGTATGATTATTTTCCAGAAATCTGTGAAGGAAAATGTGCTATTTCAGACAGTTGTAGCGATAAATTTGCTCTTGAAAAAATCTTCTTGAAGATTTTATCCACTAAATAGTTCTGCTTCAAAACTGCTTGTCAAACATGTTCTCTCATGTATAAATAGTACCCTTTTTATTCTTTACTCTGCCTGCTATTCTATTTGCTGTTCCCAGCTCCTCCCTTTCTTCTTCACATCCCTTTCTTTCCTTGTGTGTCTTTTATAGTTGCACTGTGTGTATCTTGCTTTCCCTACCTCTGTCTCCCACCTCTCTTACTCTTACCCTCCTTCTTCTCTCCATTTTCTTTGAAACTCTATTCCCCTTGTCTTAGCCTCACCCCTCCCTTTTATCCTCCTCAGCTATTCTCTCATGGGTGGTTTTCTTCTCTTTGGTTTGTGTGGTCTGCCCTGCACATTCCAATTCTTTTCTTTTCAAGACCTAACACGTTTCACACAGTGAGGAGAGTATTTGATAAATGAATTATGCTTTGCTGCTCTGACCATTGTTTTAATAACTGCAACTTTAAATATTATGAGATCTGTTTGTATGTCTGGACATTTGAAACTCACTATTGTGTGGAATCATGTCTATGAAATGAATGTCTGTCTGTGTAATTTGGAGTACCTGGTTGCCTTTATCAGTGTCTCCAAACTTTCTTGATCACGTATCCCTCTTGGTAAAAGGCTTTAGCATACAACCCCATTACACATATATTTACTTATTTATAAATTACATACTACTGAAGTTCTGTTGCTTTCCTCCTGCACACCAATGTGTTGCCTGGCATACCCCTTTGGGGTGCATGCAGCCCTCTTTGGAGATCACAGCTCTCTATCACGCCAGCCACACTGTTGCATGAGATATGCTGGTTTTGTCACAATTAAGATTCTCCTGAGAATCTGATCCATGCGTGGTGGTTGGGATTGAGAGCTTTTTCTTCTCTGTTTCTGTCATGTCGGCTGTGGTTGTTTATATATTGAGAGGGCTGAGGTTTTCTGGTAGGGTGCATTAGTTTGCCTAGCAAATAGAAGATTTCAGAAACTGGAAATTTTTTTTAAACATACACATTCTCCAGCATTGCAAAATGCTGCAACACTGGAGAAAAAACATTTAAATGCTGATGTAAAAATAAATCCTTTGTAAAAGACTGACTGTCAGCTATCCTTTCACCAGGTGAAGTTTTAAAGAGGGTTTGGATGTTGCATGTGCACGCGTGCACAGGAACTTTTCTCAGACTTCCCCATTCAGTGTAGCAGTTCGCTCATGCTTGGCTTTCATTCCACAAGAAGGAGGAGGAGGAGGTTTTGGGGGGAATATTCCGTTACCATAAAGGGGAGGAAGTGTTTCTGCAGCTATTGAACAAAGCAGCTAGTTAACCTCTTTCCCGACCCCGGTGCAATGGTACAGTCCCACTGCTCCTTTCTAGGGGCCAGATGCTCCTCATAGTAGTAAAACGAGGAAGAAAGGAAAACATATGTGCAAAAATTTGCTACCCAGCTAGTAAGGACCAGATTCCAGGAGGAGCTGAATACCTGCAATTTCTCCTGAAGTAAATTTCTTTTAGAATCAGATGGGGGGAGGGAGAGGGAGGGAAGTTGGAAGGAAAGAGGTCTGTTGTAATTGGTGTCTAGAAACCCCCACAGAGAGGATTAAGAAAGAAACTATGCTGTCTGGGAAGAAGTAGGTATTTGTGTTACTCTGCATATATACAGAACTGCTAGAAAAGGCTGTGCTCTGTGGAAACCAGCCCTAGCTTTTTGAACACTGAGACGTGTCACTGTCTGCTGATGGTACTTCTTTTAAGCAGAACTTTATTGAATGTGCTTTCTCCTTTTGTATGTGTACCAGTGTCTTATGTCGAAGGGAATCGCGGTCACTTTCTATTGTGTGTGTTGTGAAGCTCATACTTCAAACCAAAGGGAGTTACTTTGGGAACAGAAGCTCAAAATTCTGCTCTGTGTTATCACAGAAGCATTTATGAATTATAAGGCACTGGGTTTTGATATCTTTTCTGTCCAGTCCTAATCCATGCTGTGTTTAGCTCACTGCACCCTCCCTCATTTTCTGCCACTCGGCTGTGTAACTTACTGAATGGTAGGAATGAGCAGAGGGTAATGTTGTGTGCCTCATCCACTGGCATTTCTCTGTGTGCAGCCCAGTGACATTTCCAGAATGAGTAGGTAGACTCTTGTTCTCATACTAGCAAGAAACAGGAGACATCCAGAAAGATTCTTCAAGAAAGATGCTTTCAGTCCTTTCTTTCCACATTGGAAGGTGAGGTTCTCTTTTGGAAGAACTGAGAAACCCTGTTTGATTCACCCACATGACTGAAGTTTCTCAGTACCTAGAATCAAGGAAGCACCTTGCCTCTGTGACATTTCACAGAATCACAGCATGGGTCAGGTTGGAAGGGATCACGGGAGGGATCATCTGCTCCAACCTCCCTGCTCAAACAGGATCATCCCAGAGCACATGGCACAGGATTATATCCAGATGGTTCTGGAATATCTCCAGTGAGGGAGTCTCCATAACCTGTCTGGGATATCTATCCCAGTGCTCAGTCACCTGCACAGTGAAGAAATTCTTCCTCATACTCAGGTGGAACTTCCTGTGCATCAGTTTCTGCCCACTGCCCCATGTCCTAGTGCATGGCACCACAGAGAAGAGCCTGGATCCACCCTCAACACCCTCCCTGCAGACACTTAGAGACATTGATGAGCCCCCTCTCAGACATCTCGTCTAAAGGCTAAACAGGCCCAGCTCTCTCCAGCCTGTTAATAAATCTTTGTAGCCCTCCACTGGACCTGCTCCTGGAACTCTGTGTCTCTCTTGGACTGAGGAGCCCAGAACTGGACACAGCAGTCCAGAGGAGCCTCTTCAAGGCTCAGTAGAGAGGAAGCATTGGAGAGTAAGCACAGATGCACGAACTTGAGCCTGGGTTATACAGACCAACAGGAGATGGCACACAGTAACAGGGATTTCAACAATGTCAAGAGAGACTGACCAAGGATCAGACTTGTGCAACCACACTGTCCTTCCTGACCTGAACCTGGCAGGGCTGGGGCTGGGCCAGGGGCTCGGCCAGAGGTTGGGGTACAGCTGCGGCCGCACTCGGGATCCGCGGAGAGCAGGCAGTGAGGGAAGCCTCTTTTGGAAAATCCCCCTCTGGAAGAGGCTGGCTGGGGGAAGCGGGAGGGGTTCTGCAGCACAGCCTGGGATCGCGGAGGGAAGCCGGTGCCGCCCAGTGACCCGCCCAGCGGAGCGGCTCCGAAGGGAGGCTGTCGGCGGCCGGGGGAGCCGGCGGGGCGTGCGGCACACAGGATGGCGATGGCCGCGGAAGTGACAGGAGTGGCTGCAGCCGCCTCGGAGTGCGGGATCTCGCAGCGCCCCCACCCCCATTTGCCGTCGCTGGGCTTCTGCGAAGGAAAGCAGGTCGGGGGGGCGGAGAGAGAATGGAGGAGGGGCACGGCGAGGAAGGGAGGGAGGGAAGGGGGAGAGAAAGCGAGAGAGCGAGAGGAGCCCGGAGAAAGGGATAAGGCAGATCCTGGGAAGCGAGAGAGAGACTCCTGCAGGAGGGGGACCTGGGCAGGGAGAGGACATTGCCGCTGAAGGGCCTGGAGGGGAGCGCAAAGATCGGGACTGCTCACAAGCATCCGACTTGTTGAAAGACGTCGAGCGAGGCCAGCGGCTGTGCCCGGGGCCGGGGGACAAAGCGGCGTTGGGCGCGGAGCGAGAGGGAGCTGGCGCTGGCCCGCCGGGATGGTGCAACTCGAGCGGTGAAAATGGTCTTTGTCCAACTTTTCTGATGCCGGGAGGCCGGGCGGCACGGCTCTAGCGGGAAGGGCTCCTGCGAACACTGCTCGAGTAATGCTGGGAAGTGGAGGGGATGTTGCTGGAGTCCTGCACAAGGTACCGTGGCGGGCGGGCGAGGACGGGCATTGTGAGTCCGGCCGGAGCGCTCGGAGCGAGCGGGACGTGGTGGCGGGTACCCGCGGGTCTCTGCCGTCCGGGGGAGGGGGCACAGAACAAACGGGGACTACTTCGAAAGGGGTTAAAACTCCTCAGGCGATGTTCTTTTTCCTCCTTTCCCGGTGTGTGCTGTTCAAAGGCGGCGTTACCGGGACCCTCTCCCGAGCGCACGCCTGCTGTCAGGTGCCGGCCGTGGGCACGGGGAGGACAGATGTGGGGAATCGGGTCACGGCCTCTCCGCTCACGGAGACTGCCATCATCCCCAGTGCCCTTCCACACGGCCGTGCTGCCTTTGGTCTGCTCCCACGAGCCGTGTTTCCCCTCTCTCCAGCCCCCTGGAGAACCGTAAGGAAATGCTGCTTTTGAAGTCTCTGAAGTGGGGCTTGATGGATGCTGGTGTGGGTTCGCGATCCTCGTGGAACGACACAGGGGAGGCTGCGTGGCCTTGTCTGTGGGTAGGGTTGCTCAGCGCTCTTGTGGGGGACAGATGGCTGTATGAGTGCTTGTGGCAGAGAAAAGCCATGTTAGGCTATTTTTCAAGGAGATGATGCAAGTTACTACTACTCAAGCTAAATAAATCTGTGAATGTGGGAGGGGCTGTTGTGATGGGTAATTTTAATTTTGCCTTTTGTGGGATCCACTAAGATGATTTCACTTACTCTGGAGTTTCTTTTGCTATTACCACACTCATTCGGTTGGGAAGGAGTGTGAGTGTCACCTGCCTTTTCTACAACTTCCAGAAATCGGAGAGTGAAGATGGGGAATCAAATCTCCTCCCAAGGGGCATCCTTCACTAGCAGTGATACCAAGTCATGCAGATTCATGATGAAGGAGAGTGAGGGGGCAAATGGAAACAACAAAGTCAGAGGAGAATTAGCTGCCACCAGACACGTCTGTTAGAGAGACAAATCTGTAGCCTCAGCTGCAATGAAGGAGGAGGCTTCCTTTTTCATTGTTTTATAGGTTCTAATCCAAAACATGGAACTGGGTGTGGGTGCACCTCATGTTTAGTCACAGCTGATCCACCTGCCCTAAGCCATTAATACAAGATTTATTGGCTACTTTTAGGTATTTCTTCATTCCCAGTTTGAAATAATTCCAATGCTGGTTTCCATTGGGAGAAGGAAATGAAAAGATAATCTGCAATCTAATAATCCTTCTCACCCCATCTCATTGCAGAAAAAAAATACTGTTTTTCTTTAGAAGTTCATTCCCTAAATTCAACACCTTGCACTACTTCAGTTTACTTTGCTAATGTATTGGCAAGCTTCAGATAACTGCACATAATTGCATCTTTTCCTTTTCTGCCTTTTCACATGTATGCTCTCTGAGCCAAGTTACACAGTTGCAGTTTTTAATTCCTTGACTTGTGTGCCCCTTTAGCCACTAAACATCTTTTCTTGTCTTCTGAGTTCTCTCCTATTTGACATTCTTGCACTGAGCTGCTCAGAATTGTTTGCATGGCCATGTGTTTTGATTTTTGGAAAAAGCATCACTTTGGGGCACTGGATATTGTATGAGGTAGGATTGTATCTCTTTCGAATTTAATCACTGAAACCCCACAGAAAGTCATGTTTTCTTGCATTGTTCTGAAGTTCTCAGCTCTTCCAAGCTGTTATCTGTGGCATGAGCACCTTAGGACTTTTTGGAGGGGGTTGGGGAGGAGATGTCTAATTCTTTTTTCTTTTGCCCAAGGCTGCTACTGTCTTTGCCTCCCGTATTTTTCTTGGAGGCTGACCAATGGCACAGTGTAAATCCTTTTTGGGGGGAAGGCAGCTGGTGGCTCCAAGGAGACAGCTGCTTATTCTCCAGCGTGCTCCCATAGGCTGCCAGCAGATGTGTCTGACGAGGGAGCTGATCCCTTAGCCCATTGAGAATTGTCTTCCTTATGCCTGTAGGGATTCACTGTGTGGATCCCTCTTTGTGCCCAGGTGCAGATGGCTTCCTCTTCTTCCCTCTGATATTGCATGTGCCATATGCAGAGAATCATGTAAGAGATTAGTGTATTTCTCCCCCCCTTATCTCTTGTGCCTCCAATTAAGACAGTTTTGGTTTTTGGCCAACTTTCTTCCCTGGATTGTCAGAAGATTTATGCATACTTTTCCTCTGGTTCAGGAATGCTCCTGTCTTCAGATCTGCTCTCCCTAAAACCTTAGTTTCCTTGTATTTCATTATCCATCAGCAGTGCCTGTGCAGAGGGTTAACCTGAAGTCCCTACAGATTAGTGCAGAGTGCTTTTGGAGCACACCTAAGGTTGCACAATATATTTTTATTTTTCATTTCTGTGGCCATATTGCATGTGTTTACTGCACACATAAACAACAGAAGGTGGAAGAAGTACAAATTGGTGGTCAAACTAGAGCTTTATAATGTCATTTAGCCAGCAAACAAGAGGGCAGTGTCTTCTAAAAAGGGTGCTGTCATTAAAAAGTATTTATTAAGAATATTCCAGATTGTCTGGTTTTAGTCATAAACATGTGATTTTTTTTTCAAAAATCTCAATGACTTATTTCTGTGAAAAGTTGATTAAAGGTTTAGGGGCAAACTGATGAGCCCCTATAGTACTGTCATTATTTAGTCTTGTTTGCTGTTGGTTTTTTTCTTAAACTTGATTTAGTATTATATTACAGTTATATCTTGCTGTTGATTTTGATTTTGTTAGCAAGTTTTGTATCATCTTACAGAAATACAGGTAAGGTATTTCTTCCAGCTACCGACACATTCAGCAGTTTTCCAGCTCACTATGACCTTATACTTTAGCTTCTACCTGATAAATCTTGGGTTGTATATCACTCTTCTCTCATGTTTGCTCTTTGGCAACCATGAAGTGTCATGGGCTTCAGGGGTGTTCACAAATGTAACACAGGTGTATTTTTTAAATAATTCTGTAGATGTTGTACAACAGCAAACTAGCACTTTTTCTCCAGTGCTGCTGTCTAAACAGACCCCCAAAAGGATAAAAGCTCCTTAATTGCTCATGTCAGCCACAGCAGTCAAACATGTGAGCAGCAATTCTGAGTAAGAAAAAGCCATTTCATGTTGTCACTCTTCTCACACTTGATTTATACAAGGAGTTTTAAACTTAACAAATAGCTACCTAGTACTTCCTTCTCAGAGTCACTCTGTTGTGCTTTCAAGAAATACTCCTCTGCCACCAGAAATAGAATTTTATCGGAAGGGTACTGTTAATATATGTTGTGTTTTAAAAAATACAATTAAAATGCATGTACTTTTTGGAGATCTTGTCACCTTATTTTATACTGAAGGTGCTGTCTTGCCTCTTAAAAAGTCATCACGGAGCAAGCTGATGCTTCTGTCACAGAGGTCCTACTTGAAGATTGTTCTTGAGACCGCTTCTGACAAAAGCTCTTCTAGTCACTGGTTTCAATTTTCCGTGCCTCCAGAGGCCCCTGTGCATTCTGCTGCTCAGGCCTGCTTGTCAAGAAGATTTTTGTTCAAACGTTTCACATGCACACCCCCACGCCCGCGTGCACGCGCGTGTGCGCATGCCCGTGTGTGCACACAGCTGCGGGCAAAGAGCAGGAAAAAGGGCTGTCCTGGCAGCAGAGAAGATGCTGGGTACCGTAAGAACACAGCCTCTCCAGCCTGAAAACTGCAGTCTTACACGTGAAAGCTGAATCCTTAAGCTCTTGATTCACCTTAGGATGGAAATTCTCGCCAGCCCAGACCTGCACATTGAAACATACATGACTTCATTTTCAGACAGGCTTTTTTTTTTTCCCCCTGTCTCCTTAAGCTTGCCAAGTAAATGATTCCTCTGCTGATTCTGCAGTTTCCAAGTACAGTTTTTTGCTCTGTGCCATGTCTCTGGAAAATATCCAACGTGTCTAAATCATGTAATTAAACCCCAGAAGCTAAAGACTGAGAACTACTGGCTCTTTGTAAGATATTTCTGTTTTAGCATACTGATGTTTCTCCAAGTTACTGTAAAGCTTTCAAAGCTCCCTAAATGACCTGATCTCTCTCCCACTTACTGCAAAACACTCACATGATATGAATCTGTTTGGCCCAGCTGACCACTTCAGAGGCAGTGTGTAGGATACAGACGCCTGTGTGGAAGCCTTTAGCATCAGGCTTACCACAGGCTCTCTCAGATCCTGGGGATGTCTGCAAATGGAAGCATGGTTCCTTGGCAGAACTCTCTTATCTTCTTAACTATTCTCTAAGAAGAGAGTGGGATGTCACAAGAGGGACAACATTACAGATCCTTCTGGGCTGGTTTTGAATAATTTCAATTTGGAAATTCAAACTGGGCTGTTTATAAGACTGTTTGAATTTCCAAGTGTTAGGTTTCACTCACAGCTAGGATCAATTTCATTCCAGTACGCAGAATCTGGAATGCTTTCTGCACCAGGAAGATGTTTGAAATTACTCCTTCTTGGGTTTGAGCCAGAAAGAAGCTGCTTGAAGCACAGCTGGATTGGGATGCATGCCTGTAGTTGTCTCCCAGATGGTCCCTTCCCTTCCTAATGTCAGTAGGCTTTCAGCTGGTGCCAGCAGCAAGGGGGATGCAAATATGTACTGACATTTTCACTTTTCAGTGGGTTTGCTAATCCCGTTTGGTGCATGTGTTGTCCATAAAGGGGCTACCATATCAGCAGTTAGCACTGCCATCACTATGGTGTCAGGAATGGAATAGTGCTATTGAGGAATGTTTGTTTCATTGCTAGTGCAGAGAGGATCTTAGTGGTCTTCTCTTCTTCCAGTATCTAACCACGTCAGAAGTACATAAAGATGTTCTCATGTGATGTGAGAACAAATTCTGGTGACTTGAGTGTAAATCAGCAGTCTGTTAAAATCTAGGGGATAGGTAGAGGCTTTGACAGAGGGAATTTTCTTACTTTGCACGTGCCTTGTTCTGCTGGGACATGTATGTGGAGTCAGATGCTGAAGAGTAATTAGTCTTCATTTTGAGCCTT